CACTCCTATTTAATTTTTACAAATGAAAGCAAACTTTACTTCCTCCCTGACCTGACACTGATATGCTTCATCAGGCAGGACATGAATCACTGATGCTGGACCACCTCGGGACCCAAATAGGTCTAGCTGATTGATTGCTTCTAAGGCCGCCTGCACATTGGAACAAACATCAACTCAATGGTCAGACAAGACATAAAATACTAGACATTTGATAGAATTCTCCCATACTCTTAATTAAAGAGAAAAAGAAATGGCTCTAAAAGCTTAGCTCTGGTGCAGCGGCTAGATGCTTGCCTGTGGATCGGAAGGTCGTGGGTTCGGGTTCTGAGAGAGCTGGACCTTTTCAAAAATTACCTTGACTCCCAGGTCGACCCAGCCTTGAGTGGGTACCAGGTGCAGTCCTGGGAAGTAAAGGCGACCAGAATGACGCTGACAATAATACCCACCAAGTGACGACAGGTCTATAAAAATATAGGTATAGCTCTATATGCTGAAAACACCTAAAGGCGTGAAAAGGGGGTCCTCTACTTTTTTTTAAAGTTTTAAATCAATTTTATTGAGTGTTAAAGTGGGTCTGTGTACAAGGTTGCGTGGTTTCTGTATTGTACGTGTTAAATATACAGGCGTCTGTAATGTGCGTATTTTGTTCAGTGTTCTATACATATGTTGCCATGTGTATTTGTGGTGCAAGAGCGTGCGCAAACAATATATACATCTTTACATGGACATTGGTATTAGTAGAAGATTTTGAAGCAGTTAGTTGGTGAGTTAAGAATTAAATTTTCCAGACTGTTAGGTTAAGGGGTTTGCAAAGGGAGATCATGAGGGGAAGGGAAAAAGACGAAAAAGGGGGTGGGGGGGGGGCGAGAGAGGAAAGGGAGAGAGAGAGAGAGAGAGAGAGAGAGAGAGAGAGAGAGAGAGAGAGAGAGAGAGAGAGAGAGAGAGAGAGAGAGAGAGAGAGAGAGAGAGATTAAAGAGGGAGAGAGGGCAAAGAGTAAGTAAGGAATTTAAGGAGCATGTTAAAGCACGAAACCTATAATACATATAAATATTCATATTTGACAGTTTAAAGAATCGTCTTTGTATAGGTAGGTCGGGGGCAATAATTTGAAGTCCAAATCCTGGTACCAGAAAAGGGTTAGGGGTTAATATTGTGGATCTTCCATATGATCTTGGACGCCATCTTGCAGGAAAAATAAAGGCTTGGAATCGTAGAAGGGTATGTTCTTTGGTTTGGGTCTCAAGAATAAACCAACACAAAAACATCAGAAAACCAAAAAAGAAAGCTGAGTTAGTTAGTCAACAAACATTTCTCACTGAGCTCTGGACCTATCTGTTAGCATGTACTGGCTGATGACACTAGTTCTGTGTTGAGTTACCATTCTTGTCAGGAATCATTTTCAGCTGCTGTTCTTGCAGGTGGTCAAAGCTGCAGATTCACAGTCAGCGCTTGATTCTTGTAACTGTCTTACTTTTCACAGGACACTCAGTATATCAGCCTGGTCCAGTGCTCATTCACCTCTCACAGTAGCCATGTCTGTCAGTCTGTCAGTTTGTTTGTTTCCTCTTACATTCACACATCATTTTAAAAAAATACAAAAAAAAAAAAAAAAAAAAAAAAAAAAAAAAAAAAGGAAACAGCTAATGAGGCCCAAAAAAAGTTTCCGTATGGGTTCCGGGGCCCTATTGTAGAGAAAATAAAGTATAGACCTATTACCTACCCAAAAGTATGTCGTAAAAGTCGACTAACAGGGAACTTCCTGCGAAGTCGGAGAAGCCTTAGAAGCAAGGAACCAACAGTTTGCATACAAATTATTCACATCTGTAAAATGGATGCACACACACCACTCAGGTTCTGGAACTGGACTACAGTTCTTCTTCTTCTTCTTCTTCAGCGATCTCTGGTCATGCGCATAATCCACTGTGGGTCATAAACTGGGATGTCTTTTCAAGGTCTCTTAGGTTTCCCCAAAGCTTAGTTGTCAGTTCTACTGGGTGTTGCCATATGTCGCTCCGCAGCTCCGCCAGGAGAGGACAGTCTTGCAGGACATGTTCTGGAGTCTGTTCAGCACGAAGACACTGGCAGAGAGCTGTTTGGCTCATACCTAATTTATATGAGTGTTTATTGAGTCTGCAGTGTCCAGTGCGTAAGCGAAAAACTGTGACTTGGTCTGTTCTGTTCAAGTGCCTCAGAAAATCTTTTCCGTAGTCATAACCAGTGTTGTTTTTCCAGTCTGTTTCTGATTTTCTCTTAATGAGAGTTTTGACTTCTGGAAAAGATAGTGGCTGGTAGGTCTGTAGTTTGTTACTGCCTTCCTTGGCTAAAGCATCTGCGCTTTCATTGCCTTTGATGCCACAGTGAGACGGAATCCACTGCAAGTGAATTTCTGCCTTATTTGACAACATAGCAAGTTCCTGTGTTATACTTTGTAGTGTGCTGTCGGTAGGTTTGGACTCAAGGGCCTGTACAGCTGACAGTGAGTCAGTGAGCCAAAAAAAACTATCCTGCCTGCGGTGATTTGCAGATTGTTCATATACTGTGCTGCCATCAATAGAGCTGAGAGTTCTGCCTTGTAGTTAGAGCAAGTACGTCCGGTGGGGGCTGCTAGGGACACAGTAGTGGCATCTGGGTGTTTTATGTAGACACCTGCCCCACCATTCGTAGTTGCTTCTTTTGCTGATCCATCCGTGTAGATTCTTGTCCAGCTGTCCTGTGGGAACATGTTGTTGAGGTGTTCTATTGTGAGTGCTTTCTTCACTAAAGCGGGCTCAGCATCTTTGTTTCCCAGGTTCGGGATGGATGTTGACACATTGAGTGTCAATAATTTTGGAGTCCCAGAGATCGAAAGATAGCTCTTCAGGTGTACATTGTTGGTTAAGTAGTGAAGAGAATGACTTTCCAAATTCCTTCGTTAGATGGTTTAGGCTTTTGCGCTTTATTCTGTTTTTTGTCCTGGCTGCCAATTTTTCGTGTAATGGGTGGTTTTAACATTCTCTTCATTTTTTCAGCATGTAGAATTGCTTTTGTCCTTCTTCTTTCTTCTAAGCGGATGATGTTGGCTGCCTTTTCCATTTCTACAATAGGTGTAGATTTTATGGCTCCCAGAATTGTACGCAGACTTCTATTTTGCGTTTTGTCTAGTATCTGTTTATTGGAATGGGCTGCTGTTATCCATGACGATGATGCGTATTCGAGAGTTGGTCTGACTGTGCCGGTGTATACCTGCTTCAAGATACAACTGTCTGCTCCCCAAAGTGGTGCCTGCCAATTTCTTCATCACACCTTGTTTTCTCATGGCTTTTTTGTTAGTTTCTAGTATGTGATGTTTCCATGTCAGACGACTGTCAAGCTTGACTCCCAGGAAGGTTGGAGTATTGGAGCGTGGAACAGCATCATTGTTGAATTTTAATGTAAACTTTTCCTCCTTTGTAGACAATGAGAAGAGTGTTGCTACAGTTTTGTTCCTGTTTACTTCGAGGCCCCATTTGTTGGCCCAGTTTATGACACTATTCACACTTTCCTGGAGTTTTGATATAGCAGGTCCAATGAACTCAGAGGTGTACCACACAGCTAGGTCATCTGCATGAAGAGAATGTGATACATGTCTGGGTAAAGTTTGAGGTAGGTCGTTGATGTAAATCAGGAACAGGACTGGAGACAGTACACTACCCTGTGGTACTCCTGCTCTCAGCTTGAATCTGGGACTATGTGCTTCATCTAGTTTCACAGATGCCCGCCTGTGTGATAGGAAGTCTTGTATCCAGTAGTACATTCTGCCTCTTTATTCCACTATGTAAGAGCTTTAGCATCAAGCCATCCTTCCATACTTTGTCAAAGGCCTTGGACATATCAAAAAAGACTGTGAGGGTTTTCTTCTTTCCTGGAAGCCATTTTCTATGTCCTGTGTAAGGTATGCTACCTGGTCATCAGTGCTTCTGTGCTGTCGGTAGCCTGTCTGAGCCGGATCCAGTTTGTGATTGGTTTCTAGGAACCACTGAAGTCTGGTGGCTAGCACTCTCTCCATCAGTTTTGCGGGGCAGCTTAGCAGACTGACAGGCCTGTAGCTCTGAGGGTCCTTCTTGTCCTTGCCACTTTTGAGGATAGGGTGGATTATAGCATTTTTCCAGATATCTGGGACTCTGCCTAGTTTCCAGCTATAGTTGTATATCTGGAGTAAGATGTTTTGTGCTACTGGACCCATATGTTTGAGCATGTCGTCTGAAACTTCGTCTGGGCCAGGTGCCTTCTTTGACTTGAGTTTTCTCATTGCTCTTAGTATCTCAGTTAGAGTGATGTCTGTCTCCATGCATGGCTCACAAGAGGCTTTTTTGAATATGGAGTTTATTCCATCTCGGACTGCTTTCTTTTGCTCCAGGGTTACTGAATATGAGCTTTCTTTCTCGTAGTTTCGGGCCATCAGTTCAAAAGTGGACGAACAAATACCTGTTTTGGACTGGATGCCCAGGTCAACTTAAAAAAAAAAAAAACATTTAAATTCATGACCAGCGGTTAGCAGACAGTCATGCCAACCACTGCATTACCACAGCTTCAGACGCACCTAGCATTCATTAATAGTTTTTTCCTACCTTCGCCAAGCCAATTGAGCTTGCATTTAACTCCGGTAGTCCGTGGTTGGTTTTATCCCCTCTTTCCCAAATGCCATAGTCCTGAAAATAAAATAAAAATTACTGGCATTTTTAACTATCTGAATAACGAGAGAGGCTGGCTCACAAACAGTATCTGTCACGAGAATTTGCATTTACCACGTTTTTTTTGGGGGGAGAGGGGGGGGGGGACGACAGGGGGTTGTGAGCCTGAGGTTTGGTGTTGCATGGCTAGTTCTGTCGCCACAGACTGTGCAGGTAAGGAAGCGGCGGGGGGGGGGGGTCAAACGTAGGTCTCCAGCATGAGAGCCCGTTGCATTAACCGTTTGGTCAGCGACTCCAGATTTAAAAAAAAAGACTGCAAATTATTTCCTTTATTTATACACCACTTTTGCGGTCTTTGAGCCTGAGGATTTAGAGCTGCATGGCTAGTGCTATCCCCACGGACTGTGCAGGTGAGGATTTGATCTTGCCCCCAACAAAAAAATCCCCAACCTTACTGAGGATTCAAAGCCAGGTCTCCCACATGACAGCCCAGCGTTATAACCGTTCAGCCAGCCGCTTCTCTCATTCCAGATAAACAGTATCATTCCTCGTCAACTGAAAAAACTGTAGCTATATAAATACAACAAAGAATTGGTGAAAGCAGTAATGGTTTCCGGAACAAAAGGCAGCAGACGAGCAGCACAACAGTGGATACAGGAACATCACGTCAGCCGCCTCTACTTCCCAGGACTTTGCCTGGTTCCACTGCATGGCCGTGGTCTTTAAAAAAAAACATACTCCATGCAGATTTGAAACCAAGACCTTCAGGCCAGCAGGCGAGCATTCAGCCTCTATGCTTACTGTGCTTACTTAGGGAATAGAAGAAATTTACACGTATGTCCTTATACAAAAGTATACAAACTTATGTACTGAATGAAACAAATATATCAACCCAAACCCTTAATGAAAAGAAGTAGAAACCTGTATCCTGAAACTCAACTGTAAGATCAAACTGCACTTTTGCTGTAAACAAGAAGTAAATCTATATCTCTAAAAAAACTAAGTGTTATTAGATAATGGGTTTCATAACATTGACTCCCCGTGTGGGTTCCGGGGTCCCATTGTGGGGGAAAACAAGAATAGACCCATTGCCTGCCCAAAAGCATGTCGTAAGAGTCGACTAATTGGGAGCTTCCTTCAAAGTCGGAGTGCATCTGTCTGAGAGGCAGGGAACCAAGTCTGCATGCAAATGAGTCAGACCTATGAAACGGATGTACACGCAATACTCAGGTTCTGGAACAGGACTGGAGTCCAGAACTGGACGAACAGCCAGAACTTTCCGCCAGAGTTTGCAGCCAATGAATGCGAAGAAAAGAGATAACACTGATAAACTCACTACCACGCAAACTTACAGGGGTTCTGTATGCAGTCTCAATGTAAAATACCATATTCTGTATAAACACTACCTCATCCAGTGTAAATATAATGTCAATACCTGGGGGTAAAAAGGCAAGTATAACATTATTTAAAATATGCAATGTTCAAACTACAAAATTATGAACAACTGAAACTTATTTTGTTGCCTCAATAACACTTTAAAAAATAGTTATGACCCCGTGGTATTCTGGAGAAAAAAATCCGTTAAAAACCAATTTTACATATGTTACTAGTAAATTTAAAATTTAATTTGATGTATATTAACAACTTTTCAAAATATATAAAGATATATAAAGGATGTCACCATTAAACATGAACAGAGTGGAGAAATCAATGGAAAACATAGCCCAGGCCCCATAAATATATGGGTGACTCATACCGTGACTTGTGACCTCTATCAGTGAGGCTTACAGGAACATTTGGTTTTTTAAAACAACTTATGGTTTGAAAGAAGAAACCTCCTAAATGATATTTTTTTAGGTAATTTGTTCAAATCCCAACTTCATATATGTTTGTGCAGGCATGATCACAACCCACAGCATTAATTATTCATCTCATAAGCAGGTCACTTTAGATAAGTCGGCTAATTCACATTTAGAGGGAACTGGTTTTGTAGCTTCGCGGGGTGACAAGGTTCAATTAATATACGTCATCCACAGCCAGCTATGTCACCTGACCTTAATACAGCTGAGGGTTCTTTTCGCTTTCACCCATCTCAAGGGCTGTGAGATATGGTAGGTACTTCATAGGGAATTCCCCGGCATGTGCAGTATTATAGCGGGTTAGGGTTAGTTTTATCTTCTTCTTCTTCTCCTCTACTTGTTTTGTTCTTTATCTGCCATATTGTTTCTAGTATAAAGTTCACTGTCTTGTGTAATTCAAGCAGCGACTCGTTCAGCCCTGAGAAAAGCCTTCTTGAATAAAGGGCACTGAAAAGGACCGACAGTTTCCATGTATGTATACTGGTGGGTTAGGGTTAGGGTTAGCATTAGATGTAGCGATGTTGACAAGTCAAGGAAAATCACGGCAAACGTGAAGTCACTAAGTAAGAACACCACTTCCAAACCAAGGCGCAGTTGTGGCGATGAACGAACTAAAGTAACACATACAGGACATGATGATACAATAAACGATGAAAACACTGAAAACATCCAACACATGACAACCTAAGAACATAGGAGTCTCAGTGTTTTCAGGTTAGTGTTAAATAAACACCGACTATCACAAAACTAAAGTCCAAACGGACCAGCAACCGGGTCTCTTCCGCCGGAGCTCACAGCCAGTGTACGCAAGCAAGCAAGCAAAGAGCAAATTCTTACAATGAACTGTGTTCCCGGGTTGACCTAGGCTAACACTTGTGGCGGAAGATGTCACAGGAAGACAGCCACTGCGATACTGACAGCAACCCCCCCCCCCTTCCCTCCCCCAATTGTAAGTTATTCTAAAAAATATAGGAATTGCCCCAATACACTTGATATACATGTACGTATTTGTAGAAATGAGCCATTCATTAACTTAGCTTTAGAACAAGCAAACTGCAGACTCAACAAAAAACAACATACAACAATTTCCGTCTAAGAACAGGACACTGTCAGCACAACTAACAAATGCATAAAATGAAGATTGTACAGTCCTCAAAGTGTGAATGTCAGACAGGACCACAAACACGTAATCACATTCCGCAGACCTGCCCGCTCTACCTGCAACTATGAAAAGAAACTGGCCTCAAAAGCAAAGTGTGCAGAACAAGCTGTGGTAAACCATGAAGAACATGCAGCTGACATGCGAATTCATAAAGATAGCGCACTTGAGGGTCTGACCAGAACATACAAAACAACAACAGACACCCCCCTCCCCTTCCACAATAAAAACAACAACGTACCAGTGGATATCATCTGAGACAGAGTTAGCAGAAATATGGATGTGGCATCAATCTGCAGGTGGCCCCACTCTTTATCCCCAACGACAGGCTTGCCACTGATGCTGCTGTACTTTGCATGCAAAGCATCCAGGGGATTCTGACTGCGCTTGAACTGTTCCAGTTTCTCCGTCTGCATCTGCATGGAGCGCAGCAGCCCCCTCATTGTTTTGACTACCGCCTTGGTCGTTTTGAAAAGGCAATAAGTTATAGCAATATGAAATACGTGAAAAATTTATTTATGCATAAAAAAATATATTTGGCAGATTCTATAGGTCAAAGGGTAGAGAACAGACAAAGAGACTTACCCTGGTCCCTCAGGCTGGGGGGTTGAAGCAGGGAACTGCAACACTCATCTTTGTAAAAATTCACTGTGTCATAAACCATATTTCAAAGCGTTGGGTAGAAGAAGTCGAGGCCGACCTCTACTTTGGTGTAAAGACGTGTACAAGCGGGACATAAATGATACAGATACGGAGGTGGACTCATGGAAACTAAAGGTTATGGACCGTATTGTGTGGAGAGGGCATATCAGAAAGGAAATGAGAATGAAGGAAGAAATGATTGCAGAAAAAATAAGAGCTGAGCGTTTGAGAAGAAATGGATCAAACACAAATGTCGACAACAATGGTCCTGAAATCCGATGCTATCATTGTGGAACAATACTTTCTGTTACTTGATTAATATCATTGTGGAAGACTTTACTTGACACGGGCGGGTCTTTCTAGTCACATTCGCCATTGCCGTGGGCTGTGAGTCATGGGCTGCGGGGCACATACAAAGAATGGCAGATGATAGACAGATAGAAACAGTGTATGTAAAGAAGATGAAGGGGGCATAACAGAAAAAGCAGAAAGGGAGGAGAAAGGGTAACATAAAAGAAGAAGAGTAGGAGCATTAGTTGGCAGAGGAGGAGGAATAAGAAGAAATAGCAGAAGGAGGAGGATAAAATGAAGAAGAGTTGAAGGGGACGGTGGAAAAAGGGGGAGGCTGAGGAGGAGGAGAAGAAGAAGAAGAAGACAGGGGAGGAGGAGCGGGAGGAAGAAGAGGAGGAGAAGAAGAAGATACAGAACGTCACTGATTGGACAGGCCTTAGGCGTGAAACCATCAAGTCCAATGCATCTGACCATCGAAGGTGGAAGCAGCTGATCAGTCAACAGTAACTGGTGACCCAACAACACACACTGTTATAGGATGGTGATAACGATAATGATGATGCTATAGTTAACATCTTGGCTATGATGTTCCATAATTCTTACTTTTTCTAACTGGTAAGCTTTCGATTTGCCTTCTTCCGAGTCGCTCATTTTTCTAAACGCTAGAGTGAGTCCCCAGACACATAAGATACAGTAAACGTTGTCTCTGACCCAGGAATGGTTCTTGTTGCAGTCTTCTGCATCAGCATTCTAAAACAACAGTAAACATTTTTTTTTTTTTTTAAATGTAGATTCTTTTCACACCCATGAGCATCCGATGCTAGACTATCTGTATAGGCTAACGGGCACTTGAAGGGTCATGTGGCTAACCTCATGCTGCCTGCCTTGACCTTCCGGGACATTTTGATGCTGGGTCAACCTGGAAGCCTTAAGTGAATTACGAACCTGGAAACCTTAAGTGAATTACGAACTCTGCCAATGTAGATTCAAACTCAAGGCCTTCGAGCCAGCAGCAAGCGGTTAGTCAGAGCAATAACTTGGCTACGTGAAACTATCCGAGGTAATGGGGATCTGAATACTGCAGCTGCAGTGCCTGTCATGGCTATTGCATTCAAAGATATGATTAGATATGCACTTCCTTGTGCAGTTTCCATGGCTCCATTTCGGACAACAAAGAACAGACTCACTGCCCCTCTAGCAAACATGTCATAGCAGGCGACTAATTAAGGTTGTTTCTTTCAAAGTCACAGTTCATCTGCCTGAGAGGCAAGGAACCAACAGTCTGCACACAAATTAGCCAGATCTGTAAAATGGATGTGCAAGCAGAGCTCAGCTTCTGAAACAAGACTATAAAGTCAAAAAGTTGATAAACAACCAGAACTTCCTGTCAGAGCTTTTAGCCGGCGAACAAGAAAAATAAGAAGAATCAGAAGAATTAACAATCGACATCACAGCATTCGGAACATGCCTTTAAGCGCTTCATTCCCATCTTGAGCAGCATGCCCAGAATTCTAATCTGATGGCACCAGTAACAGTCAGGATGTATATCCATCTTGCTCTGAGTGTTCAGCATCGACCAGATCCCCTGGTCCGGTCGATCTGTGCCTCCACACTGTTCATTAGCTCCCAAAAGATCATAACATCTAGCTTGTGATGCATCAATTCACCACTAAGTGGTGCACAGCCATTCATTCTATCTGCCTGTTTGTTTCCCAAAACACATGCATAACCTCGAGAAAATATCTAAAGGACACTAACTACCCAGTACCTCTGTAGCAAACCCTGCCACTCTGTACAGAGCACATCTGTCTCCGACTTTCTCAGCATGCTCTGTTTGCTTCAAGAAGGTCCATTATCTGACTTTAATTTATGTATTTCCAACTCCAATCACAGCCCTTGCCAGAACGCTTATTGACCGACAGCCTGCTAGTTCACTGTTTCATATACACAGTGTCACCGCTATCCGGTGTCTACCTTTGTGCTGATTTATCCCTGCCCCTTTTTTCAGGGCACCACACCCAACACGGATGTTCTTCCTGTGCTAATTCTTCCTGTGCTAATTCTTCCTGTGCTAATTCTTCCTGTGCTAATTCTTCCTGTGCTAATTCTTCCTGTGCTACTGCAGTATTTAATACGACCAAATATTTACGTGTATGTGTATGTTATGCTTTCTTTGACATTCAGATCTTGTAGAATTTCAGCACTTTTGTTATTCTTTTCGGCATTTGCCCTCAAAACGGTAGCTGACACCTGATGTTGTGAGTTGTGCCTTACAGCTTGCACCTACTTATGTCAGCAAAACCCTGCATTAGTCACCGTTTACAACATGCTTGTTAAGCAACAGTGGGTCTATTCTTTTCTTTTTTTAAACCAAAATAATGGAGCTCCCGACATTTAAGGGCATTTCTTTTTCTTCTTCTTCTTCTTTTCCCCCCTTGTGTCTTGTGTTTTTGTTATTTTGTTTCCTAATGACATTCAGTTTAGATATTTTAAAGTTAGCTGTCCTTGAAATCAGCAACGACTGCAGTTTGCACTAAGTTTTACTCCACTATTGTCTAGTCTTTGAATACTTTGATGAAACTTGCACTTATGAAGCCATCCTATGGTTGCTTTAAAAGCTGGATCTCCTTCTAATTTCTTATTCATTTCAACTGCCTCGGTCGTTATTATGAGATTTAAAAGTAGGATCCCTTTCACTCCTTTCTGAATAAACCATTGGTACATCAGAATGCCGAAGAAGAAAAAGATTGGTACATAGCTTTATTAAGCTGGTCAAATTTTGCCAGTGTACTATTTTAAGGATGTCTGTTTGTTTGCTAATACTCTAGCATTTTTGTGTGTGTGTAGGTGATGACGATAACAGAAACTAATGGTTAAACGAGTGACGATTAATCAAAGTTTTACCGTACTTCGAACAGAAACATACAAAACAACTCACAAACACACTTACATATGATATTCTTTCAGCCTTGTTATCTTCAGTAATCTCAGGAAGATCCCACAGGATGCTTCTCATACGAATGCTTTGTACACTACCAAAATTCACTGATGAATATCTTCTGTGAGCGGGTGAATCAAACACGCTTCTTCTTTCTCCAGCTGAGACCATACTCCAGCGGTCAAACTTGTTCCACATAAGGGGGTCTGTGTCATCAGCACTGATATTTATAATTAGACCTGTGCTGACATTCTGTGAAAAAAGACACAATAAAGATAATCTTCATCATCATCATTATCAATTTCCATCTTCTCCAACATTGGCTTCTTGCTTTCACTTCAGATATTTTCATGTGTAGCACCGCCTTAGCTGGTAGTTGTTCTGGCTGCATTTTTATTAGATGACCAAACCATTCAATCTTCTGTTTCTCAAGGATATTGCTGCATGGTGTTGTTCCTACAGTCTGATAATATCATTTCTAACTTTGTCTCGGATGGTTAAGCTGGAAACTTTTCTCGGGCATCTTTTTTCGCGTGTCCTAATACTACGTAGGTTAGACTGATAATGTCCAAATCTGGCACCCGTAGCACAGTTCTGGATGAAAATGCCATTTATAATCTGTTTCTTGGCACTCAAACCCATGTTTGGATGTCTTCATAATGGTTTCAGTTGGTATATAAGTGCACTGGCGCATTGGCATCTTGTTTCAATTTACTGATCTATTCTCCCGTCCTGCGAGAATATACTTCCTAGATATTGAAATTCTTTTACTTGCTTCAGACAAGTACCTTTCAACCCGATATGCAGCGGATTAAGAATTCTGCTGACCTGCATTATTTCATTTTAAGTAGTATTTATTTTCATTTTATACCTCCAGCATGTTGAACTTAGCCTATTCAAATGTTCTTGCAGTCTACCCCCTTACTGTACAACAGGCACTGATCATAGTAGCTCGTTTTTTGTGTGTGGATATAATTCTTCCTTTGGAAAGCAAAGTTCTTCAATGTTTTAAAAACCTGTTTTCTTTTGATATTCTGCCTGTATATAGAGCAAACATGAAAGGAGAGAGCACACATCCCTGCCTCACACCTGTAACCAAGGATTACCAAGATAGCAGAGTAAACATTGTTTGCTGATTCAACGGAAGTTAAAAGTGTTATAGTGTGTGTTTTCAACACCAACATATTCAAATGTACCTACAACTGGTCTAGCAAACCGGCAGGAGATTTATTTGTTCAACTGTGACTACTTGATACTTATGGATGAATAATAAAGATAATAACCATAAAAGTGTTATAGTGTGTGTGTTGTCAACTCCAGGGAAAAGTTCTGGTTATTCATCCACCTCAGGACTTCAGTCTTGTTACAGAACCTGAGTGTTGCCTGCACACTCATTTTACAAATCTGACTTGTTTGTATGCGGATTGTTGGTTCCTTGCACCTGAGGCAGATGCTCTCCAACTTAGTCGACTCTTACGACATGCCTGTTGGGGAAGTAGTGGGTCTATTCTTGTTTTCTCCATGAAATGGCCCTGTAACCCACATGGGGAGATAATGCGATAGTAAATAGAGTTATTAAGTTACACAAATAAGAAAGAATTACTTGGAGTTTATTTTTTTGTCCCCTAAATGAAATCAAGCTATGTTTAGATGACAACTCTAAAATGAACAAATTTTTGAAGAACTTTAATTTTAAAGTTAGACACAGTACAAATTTTGATCTAAGTACAACGAAAGCTTTTCTTGGAAAAACAAGAAATTAAAAGTGAAATTACAAGTTAAGAAGAGAAGAAAACAAACATCCTAAAAGAAAGGGGGGAAAGCAAAAAATAAATAATAATAATAATAATGCATTAAAAAAAAGCATTACAGAAAGACAAGTTTGGGCAAATAACAATAAGTGTGAAATGATTATGAATGTGTCTGAAAAAGCTACACCTACCTGGTATCTAAGTATACATTCCTTGACCAAGTGTTCGTAGTAATCAAGCCTTAAATCATTCAATGCTTTGTCTTTCATTTTAAATTTCTGAAAAATTGTTTGTGAAGTATGCAGTTACCTAGAATTACAAAATATAGTCCAGTGTGTATGAAACATTATTGTGTAATAATTGGTATTTACAATATACAGTTAACTGTACATATATACCTTCCAATGTTAAAAATCACAGAGGAATTAGTTAAAGGCTAAGTCATGAGGATCGACTTCATTGTTGAATGCTGTATAAGGACATTACAGCACTCGGGACATTCTCATAAGCGCTCCGTCCCTATCTTCAGCAGCAAACAAAAAGTTCAAATTCTGATGCCACCAGTAAATGTAAAATAAAAGTAATAAAAAGAAAGTAAAGATCTCTTTTCACACCTAAAGCGCATCGGGTATATGGGAAGAGAGTCCGATATTTGTACAGACCCTTCGGCAATGGATGGGTAATGTGGTTAGCATTATGCCGGCCCTCTTTACTTTCCCAGGACAGCTATCCTGGTACCCATTTTAGGCTAGGTCGAATTGCGACGCCCCATACCATGATAAAAAATCCACGCAGCCAGCAGTGGGTTTCGATGGCGGTACGTTGGATTACAAGTCGGACTTGCAACGCCTAAGCCACGGACCCACCAGTAAATTTCTGATTGTATATCCGTCTCGCCTCTCCCTTGAGTGCTGAGCGCCGACCAGATCCCCTGGTAACTCCCCACAGCGCCATTCTCTTCAGACAGTAATGATCTATTTGTGCCTCTGTTCTGTTCACTCGCCGGACTTCAGTGCACCAGTTTTTATCCCATATGGCTCGGTCTTTCTCCACATAATCGCTAGCCGCCTGGCGAGAGCGTTGCATAAAGCAAGAACACCGCAGGATACGTTTTGGTCATCAATGTAGTAGCGTCTGCAAAACAACAATTAAAATAAGACTTACAAAAAGCATGGTATGCACATTGTAGTTTCTAAAAAAAAAAAAAAACACTTTAATTGAAGTGAGTTGACAGAAAAGAAATATTGCCATTAACACTGAATGTTATTTTGCAAACTTCTTGGCTCTCCTGAATGAAAAACCAATAATAATGTCCTAAAATCAGGAATGTCTACTCCCCTTGAAATGTATAAACAAAAAAATGTAGATCATCCCTCTATTATGTTATGGCTATCAGAGGTGCCAATGTGTTTACTGACCATTTTCTGTTAAAAGATATATTACATCTTATAATCACAGAAACCAGCATAATGTAGGATATACCAAGGATAAAGAAGTTTTCAAAAAATCATTTTCAGTTTCAGTCTGTAATAAGTACCAGGTGTTGCAGCATTTAGCTGAAGAGGTAAACACTAAGTCTGTTGGGAACAAATCAAGGAAATTTGGAATGAATCTTGTGTAGAAGTCCTTGGTAAGAAAGAACAGAAACATACAGTGTGGATAACACCAGAAACCATTAAAATGATAGAAGTAAAAAGGCAGACCTCAACAATAGCAAAACTAGAGCTGTTAAAGCTTGAGCTCATGAAAAATACACAGAAGCTAATATGGAAGTTTGAAGGCGAATGAGGGCAGATAAAGGGAAATATTTAGATGACCTAGCACAAGAAGCAGAGACAGCAGCAGCAAAAACGAAATCTCAGAGACATTTACAGTACCACAAGGAAATTAGTAGTTAAATACAGTCAGCCAATTGGATCAATAAAAGGTAGTCAAGGAAACGTACTCATCAACACTAAAAGATCAAATGTACAGATGGGCTGAATGTTTTAAAATACTTCTGAATAGACCCGGAGGCTCCAGATATCAGCCTCTAGAAATGGGACTGGACATTAACTGTGAGATACCAACTAAAAAGGAAATTATGAAAGCTATTCATCTTCTGAAGGAAGGAAATATGGCAAGTCATACGGTATCCAAGCAGAAGTTATTAAGATCAATATAAACACATCAAAGGAATTACTACATTGATTATTCAGTAAAGTATGGAAAACCACAGAGATAAGAGCAGACTGGAGAGAAGAATATGTTGTGAAACTGCACACATATAGGGGATCTGCAGGAGTGTGAAAATTATAGAGGAATTATGTTGCTGTCAGTTCCTGGAAAAATATTAAGCAGGATTGTAATGGAAAGACTAAAAGATGCTACTGATAAAATGCTATGAGAAGAACAGGCAGGTTTTCAGCCAAACAGATCCTGCACTGACTAGATAACCACATTATGCATAATAATAGAACAAATCATTGAACTGAAATCACCACTTTAGATTGCATTAAAAGACTATGAAAAGGCTTTGATAGCACTGATAAGGAATCACTCTGGAAATTAATGCAGCAATATGGAATCCCACTAAAAATTATTGGTACTTAATTTATAACTTACCCCTGACGTCGCGACAACGTCACGGGAGACATTCCCAATAAATTCTAGGGTGTTCAGGTTGTAGTTTCTCGCTATTTATCTACAGCCAAGTATAGGGTTAGGGTTAGGGTTATGGTTAGGATTAGACGACACTAGATGAACACTCAAAAAAAGCAACACACAACAGCACACTTACACCCCTTGAAATAATGGACTGTCAGGTCAGCTGTGGATTTCCCACGGGGATTTCGTGTTTGGGGTACGTTATAAATTAAGAACCAAATTATTAACTTAATAAAAGCAACAGGAAAAGTCAAGTTCTTTATAAGGAAAGCTAACAGATACATCTAAAATAAGAACAAGCGTACAACAGGGATGTCTTTTGATGTCTTTCCTGTTTACTGACAATAGATTAGATTATGGAGACATCAACTACTAACAGAATGGAATTCTGTGAACCACTACAAAACTGCTTGAGGATCTGGACTTCGCTGGGACTTTGCTGATGATATTTCTCTTCTGGCCCACTGACAGAATCAAATATACGATAAAATAAATATACTAGATTTAAGCTAGGCCTAACAAGGAGAACAATTAAGGCAATTACCAATAGACTACAAACATTCATTACCTGTTGCCAATGCAGAACAGAGGGATTTAAATGGTATGATAAAATCACTAATGTAGAGCTTTGTGAGAGAACTAAACAAGTTCTAGTGGACCAAGTGGTGACGAAAAGATACTGGTGTTGGATAAGACATATGCGGAGAAAAATTGAGAACAATATAACTAGAATGTCTTTGCACTAAAACCCAAAGGGGCACATAAATAAAGGCAGACACCTCAAACCCCCCAAAAACAAAATACATGGCAAAGGGAATTAGATAGTGAAGTTAAAAAATGGGGGGGGGGGGGGGGGGCTGCATGCGAAGGACAGCAGTTGCAACGACTTGGCATGAGCTGGAGGGCCTATGCCCCACTGGGGGATAACAAGTCAGAAGAAAAGAGAGACGGCATGCTTGTTAGGGGGGTGGTGAGTCTATCGGAACACACACATACTTAATTGTTTACGGGCACCGCGGACTGTGAGCTTGATTGTGTTCAGCCTCTGGCTAAATCAGCTTGCATTCATTTACGAAAAAGATCATTGTAAACATCATTACTAAAGCTAATTTAACCCACACAAACAAACATGTTGTCTATCTGTAAAACTTAAACGGTATTCTACGACAATACTGCAAAAGTAAATACTGTACCACAAAGTTTTTACAAAGGTTTTATCAACGCATACCATCAACCTCAACCATTTATACTCGCTTAAACCGACACTTTAAATGGCAGACGAACAACGTTAGTGTGTTTTTGACTTCATAGCAAGAGAGTACGTTTTGAAAACAAAAAATGTACTGAACTTTTGTCATGGCATTGACAGGTGTTAACACATAAACTGATGGATGCTGTTGGAGATGGCAGGTCGGGTTATAAGTTGGATTATCTTTACAGCACTCCGGACATGTCCACAGGTGCTCCCTTCAACATATTCATCAGCGTCGCGCGGTTAATAATACCAGTAATGCTTGTTAACTTCATTACGTCACGTGTGCTTCTCATGCTTGGCTGTGCCGATCTTTACTCTCAGTTCTCGTATTCTTAGCAGTGATGTGGACATGTTGCTTTCAAAATACTCGGAACGTCCTATCTCTCTAAGGACATTGACAATGTCTGCGTGATCCATGGGCCGGCCATCTGCACTTAATGCAGAACCTGCCCGTCTGTCAGCTCTTTCATTGCCAACAATACATGAATGACCTGGCACAAATATGAAGGTAGCTAGACACACACAGGAAGTTTTTTTAATGACTCAATCCGCTGTCTGCGTAACAAGCCTGCCTCGACCCGCCGGATCATGCTCAAAGAGTCACTCAACACAGACACGCGGGAATAGTCCTGTGATTCTGACGACCACATGAACGCTTGCGTCCCCGCCATCACTTCTATCGTCGTGCAGGAGTAAGACTGCAGACCTGCTAGATAGTCTATTGTCCCTTTTCATTAAGAGCATGTGGTGGAAAGGGTGCTTCTGATCGGAGCTTATCCTGAGGTATGCCCGAACCCTCCAGATCTTGTTCCTATAGTTCACGGTAGGGAAGTCAAGAAGGCATCTCCCTGTTACACAAGAGTCAGAGTGCGCATTGCTTCGCTTTGCCTCTTCTTAAGTCTTTCAGTCTGAGTTTGGCTGACAGTGAGAATGGCTAGAGCATATTTGATGGGGGAAAGAACAAGTCCCTAGAACAGAAGCAGAAGCAGTCTCTGCTCAATATTAACGACGGCAAGGACCCTGAGTGCTGAGAGGACTTTGCGTGCTTTTGTTATAACATGGTCAACGTGTTCTTTGAAGGACAGGCTGCGATCAAACCTCACTCCGAGGTATGTCATCAGATTTGTTCTCGTCAAAACTTTGTCGCTACTTTCCACTGCTGGTAAGTCTGCTTTCACTATATGCGTGTTCAATAAGAACAACGTTACTGAGGCCTTTGGAGGGTTGACATGTGCGTTAGAATCAACACACCAGAAGGAGATGCGTTCAAGTTCACTCTGCATTGAACTGGCAATCTCTTGACGATCTCTTCCATGTCGGTATACCAAGACGTCATCAGCAAATGACAAAGTCCTGTCACTTCCGTGC